AATGTCTTCGATTTGTTCGATTTGTTGCAGCTGCAAAGCACCGCAATGTGGAAGTTGGTATTCAGCCTTCTAGTGGTTATTGGCATTCTGGAGCAAGGTAAGCCCTGGGTGTACTGCAATTAATCAGTTGGTAAAATATTTTCAACAGAAGTCGACTGCAATTACTTCATCTTCTACGACCGCTTCAGTGACTTCGGCGAAGATGACAGATACTGGAGTCAATCAGGAGAAGCCCAGCGGCGACGTCGGCGTCGAGAGTCAGGAGAATTCTGGCAATGAACAAGGCGTTAAACCTGACGGTAAACCGGATAACGGTGGTCCGAACAATGAAGGCGACACCGAGGGTGTTAAACCTGACGGTAAACCGGATAACGGTGGTCCGAACAATGAAGGCGACACCGGGGGTGTTAAACCTGACGGTAAACCGGATAACGGTGGTCAGAATGGCCAAAACGCCGGGCCCGGCAATGGCGTTCATAACATGTTGCTGGCTGGCGGTCATACCGTTGCAGCGCTGCTTGTTCTCGTTCTTTGCGTACACTAAACCTTTCTCCTGCACATTTATTCATCCAATATAGTTCTTTGTGGTTATTTCATGCCGTTCTCTTTTACCATGAACACATTTCCCTTTCGATCTCTCATTCTGCCTCAAGTCTGCATATCACTCAGTGTTTCCTACCTTGTCCACATTCAGGACGACAGTCAGGGCACAAAATTTATTCTGCTTGTCCTGGTACTGAAAGCTTTTTCCAAGTTGATGCTGGTCAGAATCGAGCGATATGGGGTCCATTAAGAGTAGATGCTAATCATATTGGTAATTTCGGCAACACCATCATGACAAGTTTTTCATGAATTTATACGCAGTAAGATAAAAAATTGTGTGACAATATTTGCATTAACAGAGCCCCCAAAACATATTAACGATATCGGTCGTCAACGCATTGTCTGCTAAAGAGTTCTCTGTGAGGCATCTCTATTTTACAAAAGGAAGCTTCTGCAACAGGCACCGTGAAATCCCAAAACGTGACCAACCCGCAACTTTAAAAGACAAAACTGCCAGATTGCTAGCCATGGCCTCCAAATAGCTGAGCTCCTCTTTGAATTTCTTCGAAGTTCTTATTACCACAGAATACTCATTGTAATCCAGATCGCTGTCACTGTTTCTCACAAGCTCACTCGTAAGCACACTGTGTTATTTACGCAGCAGTTATCTACAGTGAACTACATCGTCATAGAAAACCCTGCGCATTCGCCACGCATATCTGTGACTGTCTGTGACGCTGGTTTCGAGGTAGAATCAGAACGATCAAGTGAGTGGACTTCTTGTCCCAGTAAACTGTATCATTGAAGTAGGCCAGGTTGAGTTTTGCCTTGGTTGGGCGTGTTAATCAATCGGGTTCGCAAACATCCTTCTTAAGGACTCTCATGAAGACTTGACTTCCTGGGTTAATCAATTCGCCCAGTCAAAGGACTGTTTCAATTTGAAAGCTCTTGTGTTTGGAAAGATGAAAAGATGGCGTTCGCATGCAGTAAGGCTTTAATGCCGTCAGACAAAGCATAATGTTTTGACTGAAGTCAGGACAGGACTCAGAGTGTACTAACTAGCATTACCGCTATGGCTAGACCAGTTATCGCGGATGTCCATATGTTTCGACTGGGGCAGTTCTAAGTAAATGCATCTGAAGGACCGATGGTTGAACGTACACAGCACTCGATCCTCAGGGATGAAGCCTAAATCTCGCTCGTTTAGGCGGGTGGTGTGGGGAGAATTTCGGCAGTAGTAGTGGAGGAGGAGGCAGATGACTGAGGAGAATCGGTGCTGGGACCGTGCCGATGACATAGGATCAGGTCGGGCATTTACCTATCCGAGGATACCAAATCTCCAATGAAACATTCCTACAAATTAGGATGAGTGAGGGATGGATGTATTCTCGTCTCAGGTAATTACTCTATTAGTAGATGACTTACGGACATCATGGCGACAAGCAAGTGCAATGCGGCCGTTTCGACGTATGCACAGAATTTAGCAGATTGAAGTTTAACCCCTGCCCCGGGTCGGGGTTGGGTATGACTGGCTGATGATGGCCAGAAATGACCATCCTAGTCCCCACTGTCTACGTCGGCAATGCTACTCTACTCATACATATATGACCATGTTCGCTGAGGGGCTGCTGGCCGGGCTTAAGATTGAATTCTAAGGCATCAAGCTCGACAAATGTGACCCCTATCGCAATGGATGAGCACCTCTCTGCAATTGTTATTTAACTACCTGTCGGATGGGGCTGGCTGAACTCACGTCGGTAATGGTCAAGGCGGTAACGGGGATTCTGGTGGTGATGAGGAACGAGATGCCGGCAGTGTTTAAGTCGAAATCGGGGATGACGGTTCGGACTGTGATCCGGAAGGAAAGGACGGCAATAGTCAAGGCGGAAACGTCAGTTCTGGTGGTGACGCCGAAAGAGATGCCAACAATGGTATGTGACGTGTGTTTGTGTATGGTCGGATAAGCTGTGACATATGGGCCGGCGTCATCCCTCCCCAATGCTGCTGCGTGTTTGGCCATTCGCGTAACGAGTACTCTACTTGTCCTGACGTAGTTGTTTTGCCAACGCCTGCACCAGATTCAGCAAATGACTTCAGACATCCCCTGTCGTGCCAGTATGTCCTTCGGTCTCAGTAATTGACGCCTAATATTTACTGCCCTGGTCCATTGCTCATTCTATTCTTTCTCCGTCCTAACTTATATGTCCGGGAAGACGGTGTTGATCTGGTTGTTAGATGCCAGTACCTTAATCCGTTCGGTAATGACGAATGAGTCGGATGTGGTTATCTAGCCGCACCTGAGGTAAACAGATCCCAGTCACCTGAAATACGGGACAGATGGTAGTAGAGTTATTGACAGGTTGGGCCGAGAAAACACAGGCAACGTGGTCAAGTAATTGTACGACAAGGAAAGCGATTGGAATGCGCGGTTGTACTTCGAGTGGTTGAGAAATAGTTGCCCCAACCTCTAACCCTAACCCCAATCCCAACCCTTACCCTAACCGCAGCCCCAAATCCTAACCCCAAAACTTCCAACTTGAAAGTTTGAAGGAGACGACAGGCCGAAAGTCAAGAATGAGCACCTGCATTTGGGCCGAAGAAGATAGGCACAGCAACAAAGAAACAAGGCTGTCAACAGGAAACACACGGCAACGCACAGCAACACCGTGCCACCAATTCACACCAACTCAACATAATTGAGAAAGTCAACAGTATTGTGTCCATCAGGTGCGGCTACATAACCACATCGTACTGACGGAGCACACACGCTGCATCACCTCACCTGAATTAACTCGCATCTCGAGGTGGTTATTGCAGTGACTATCTGCCGAGGAGAGGAGAGGAGCATGGAATGGTACAGAAGGACCGTGCCCATAAACCACCAGATGCGTTTGATTCATGGAAGTGCATACTTCCCGTAGCACCTGGAAGTTTGAGGTGGGCAAGCAAGACCACGCGACAATTAGAGGGTTATTACCGGCGATATCCAATGTGTGCGTCGTATCAGGGTGAAGGCAGCCACGGTGGCTTGCTGGTGCATTAGCTTAAATGAGTGTTGGCATGCGCAGCATCTACCACACACCCAACACTTCCTCCCCCTTCTCCTCCTCCTCTTCCTCCTCCTTCTCCTCCCCCAAATATGCTACTCCTCCTCCTCCTTCCCATTTTCCTCCCCCTCCCCACACATCTTCCCCTCTTCCTCCCCCACCTCCTCCCATTCTTCCTACGCCTTCTCCTTATCCTTCTCCTCCTACTCCATCTCTCCTCCTCCTCCTCCTCCCCTCCCATCACTTCTCCTTTTCCTCCTACTCCCCTCTCCTCTCCTGGTGTAGTTTTAGACGCTCCCACCACGAGACAGTCTATCACGACACGGACATTGAAGTCACCAATGGCACTCAACTTATCCGCCGCCGATACAGACTCCAGGGTGTGTGCAGACCTTCTTCTTCTACTTCTTCTCCTTCTTCTTCTTCTTCTTCTTGCTCTTCCTTTTTTTCAAATCACCGGGACTAGCTCGCTTCTCGAGGTGGTTATTGAGGTGCCTAGCTGTCCTGTATTGGAAGGCAATCTTTTCTTCTCATCCACGTTGATAAAGACCGAACTGCGCCGGCTGAAACCTGTCAAATCACCTGGTCCAGATGGAATTCATCCACTTTTCCTCCGAGAATTAGCTGATGTACTCTGTGAG